TCTTCCGATGGACAAAGAGCTCCTCATTGGTGTGACAACTCTTAAACATCCTCATCTGTTTATCCTGCTCTGTAATCACCTCCAGCCATTTCTCACACCTCAGGATGTCCTGCTTCAGTGCCAACTCCATTTCCTGTGGAGACGGCCATATTGCTAAAGCTTAGGTTCTTAGATCACAGCAGCCATATTTTTGGGTGAAAATCAAAAAACTTCCATCTCACTTTCATCTTCATTTATGATGAAATCAAAAGGTACTACCTGTAACAATGTGTACCTGTAACAATGAAAAACATTTAACAAGACCTTACATGGACCAAACATTTAGTTACTCATGCAATAAAATACAAATAAAATATGGCCTAAAATAAGACGGTCACTGTGTCACAATCAGTGTTGGGCAGTAACTAGTAACTTAGTTACTGTAATAATATTACTTTTTGCAGTAACTAGTAGTGTAACTAATTACTAATAAAATTTCAGTAATAATATTACAGTTACCATCCATAAAACAGCTTAGTTACTTTTGATGCCTCGACTGATTTAAAATCCAACAATCAAATAATTCCTAGATTTATTTTCATAATTTTCACGACTTGCACATGCATGTGATGTCCCCAGTGCAGCAGGCAAGCTTGGAATATGGAAAAGCTTACATTCAGCAGATAGAAATATTGCATTATATTGATTTTGTCAGGAAAAAAAGATGATCTGAACACTAAGTTGTGGCTTTACTTTACTCTGGCATTACATCCCACCCACACTCCTCTGATCAGTATGTGGTACATTATATTACTATAATTAAAAAATCTTTTTGGAAAATTACACAGTTTCTTACAAACTTAATGAAATATAATCGTATATGGGTAACGGAGAAATGACAATTAGCTTCAAGCTACACATGACAATTAATGGGATTAATACAACACTTCTACTTGAATGTCACTATCAGTCACTATTGAGTGTTTGTAATAACTTCTGACTGCAATCCAATGTGGATTTTGGTCAAATGATGAGACAGAAATATGTTGTTAGTTATATTCTGGAAGAATTTTATGTGGAAGATTTACACAGTTACAACTACTGTGGGGCGTGAAGAAAAAGTAATGTAACTAGTAGTGTAACTAATTACTGTTGCCAGAAAGTACTAAGTAAAGTAACAATATTACTTTTGAAATGAGTAACTAGTAATGAGTAATATATTACATTCTTTGAGTAACTAGCCCAACACTGGTCACAATGTATTTACACTCCAGTGGAACCCTAATGGAACCCTAATGATTTTGCACACAGATGTATTCAGTGTTTCCTTTGTTACCAAATCAGTCTTTTTGAACGAATCATTTAAGTGAACGTACGTTCTCATTCACTTGCATAAACCGACTCATGGTAATTTTAATAAAGGATAATAATTTTGGTTGACTCAGCATTTTTTTTATTAACTAACTGACTCAATGACAAAAGTTTGGGTCAGTATGATTTTTTTAATAAATTAATTATTAAACACTTTTATTAAGCAAGTGGGCATTAAATCGATGAAAATTGACAATAAAAGCATTTATAATTCTATTTCAAATAAATTCTGTTCTTTTTAACTTTTTATTTAAAAATTAAGTAACACAGCTGTTTGATAATAATACGAAATGTTTTTGAGCACCAAATCAGCATACTAGAATGATTTCTAAAGGACGCTGACGACTGAAGTAATGGCTGCTGAAAATTCAGCTTTGCCATCACAGGAACAGAAAACAGTTATTTTAAATTGTAATAATATTTCACAATTGCAGTTTTTGCTATATTTCTGATCAAATAAATGCAGTCTTGGTAAGCATAAGAGGCTTCCTTCAAAAACATAAAAAAATCTTATCAACTCTAAACTTTTGTAACAGTGTATCACAGTATAACTATATATATCTATGGACATAATCTGTTACATATCTTTTTGGTAAACAGAATTGAGTCACTTGGATGAATCAGAATCCGTACCACTATGCATTTCAAAGACACATGATATGTTGCCGATAGCTTATACTGCACACTGCATTTAACTTTTTTTATGTGCTGCATTGTACATTGCACACACTATGCAAGCTGTACCTACAACAAATTCGTCCGGCCCAGTCATATACAGTAACTGAAAGACTACCCTCTTCAATTCCATTTAAGAACAGATCTGCCCTGGACAGAATTGCACCTGGAGCTTCTGTGGATGTTGAACACAGACTGGAATAGGCTGTTCCAGACAGCCTGGCTCTCGTGGGGTGAACATTTGTCCGTTTGCCTCCAGCACAAGCTCCTCCTGCAGATTCAGCCAGAGAATTGTAGAGTGCCCTCGCCTCTGGTCTGTCAGGTAGGACATCACGACAGCCAGAGCCTGACATGGGCACAAACAAGCTTTGATTATTTATTATATGACTTTACAGACAGCCACAATTTAGGAGCTTGGGCTGCTGAAATGAGCTTTAGAAAGGATTTACCTCAGAGTTTGGCTGGGCCATCCCATATAGAGCCATTTTGGAAACACGTCTGAAATTGGCCACTTTCATCTCCTTGGCTGTACTGAGCAGATCTGTCGCTAAAAACTGACTGGACACCTTTCAAAAAAATTGAAGATATTATGTGCATAATGTGCATGCCTATGGGAGAATCTGCTGAGCTGCAGGAGGAGGAGGTCACAGCTCGACTCTGATAAGAGCAGGGCTAGAAAGACTGGCATATCAGATATAATCAGGGAAGAAAAGGACTATTCAAGGATAAAGTAAAAAAAAACTATAACCTGGTGCATATGAACATACACTAGTATAACTATGTAATTGTTATCTGTTATAATATATAATTTCTACGTCATAACAGCAAACACAAAACATTTCCTTAAAGTACTGTACGGTTCCCCTTTGGCTATGTTTTAGGGAAGGCACTTCCTAACACTCTAGGAACTTTTTTTTAATGTTTTAGGATTTCTATAACCATAAACTAATGTTCTGGGAACCAGAAATGGTTCACTCTTACCAGAACTCGAATCCCATCAGTTATAAGGCTGGCTGGTGCTGAGAGTTCAGAGCTATCCATGCTGGCCAGCAGCCTGTAGATCCAAGCGTTCATACACAGCCACTGACTGAAGCTCTGAGGAAATGCCTGTGGATACTACAGAGATAGAGATACAGCAGACAATGGAAAAATTATTAAAATAATGGCATATACTGACAAAAATAACTGCTTTTAAATATAATAATATGGTAGCATATAGTCAGCAATACCTGATCGTGAAGATATGCATTAAATACTAGTAGGTACACATAGCGTTCAAGACTTTGCAGTGTTCTTTGCAGGAAATAGCCTTTTGTGCTGTTTCCCTGCAAACAAAAAAATGTTAATGACACAAATGTCACAAATATGTGACCTTCATTTAACAAAACGCTCATTTTTACATTAAAGCAACCATTTTATAGCAGTTTGACAACATGGACACAAGAATGTTTCAGTCGGGACTTACTTGAATCTGGTAATCTTCGCCAGTGCCTTCAAGATTCAGTTTGTTTTCATACACAGCATCTTTTATATTATGCATCTCAGAGCACATGGCAATAGCATCATCAACCTGTGGCATATATACATAAAAAAACACTTGGTTTATGTAAAACTATTCATTCAATAAATCGTAATATGGTATATATTTTTTAAGTCTCAGTTTCTATTTATTTGAAAGCAATCGGACTATTTCATGAACCAAGACTTTTACAAACATCTTTAATACATTCTAACCTCATCAAGGACTTGTTGACCTTTAGGTAGGCGACTGATTAGCAACTCAATCACTTGGAAATCCAATTTGTGTTCACTCTTCTGTATTTCTTGCCTGTGAAAGAGATGAAAAGTAAATAAAACTTAAACAGAGAAAGGACCTTAAAACACAACATTACCACAGTAGAGTGTTATTAATCAAGTAATGCTTTTCTTTGAGAAGGTAAACAGTAATTGAAATTGCACTAACACTGTACCATGTACCTGGGGCTCTCTGATGCCCCCTGCAGGTGATGGAAGACTATGGCTCCCAGGATTAAGCCAAGATTGGTGCGTCCCACCCCCACCTGGCAGCTGAAAAGCAGTGCAGGCAGAGGTCTGGAGCTGTCCCGCATCAAAGAGAGGTTTGGGGTCTCCTGGTGGACACAAAGGTGGGTAAATTTGTAAAAGCACATTGTCCAAACTAAAGGAATCCAAGTGAATAACATAATGATTTAGCACAATATACATGTCTGTATATATTTCTGTAACCTCAAACAAGAACACACATTAATTTTTGGCTGTCAAACTCTGATCAAGGGAAAATGAAATCAAGATGGAAAAGATGAAGAAACTGGAATAAAAAAATCTTGCCGTTTCCTGATCATGAGTGGATACCTGAAATCATTTTTCATGGTCTTAAGTTAACATTTATAACTTTTGTCTGTGTTAATACGGTTTTCAAAGATTGATGTTACAGGTGACTGTGAAATATAAATATGGTTTGCTGGCTAGCGCTGGGTTTAAAGTTCTGGGTTCTTGCGATGAATTATTGGTTCAGTGACACAAATCATCAGATATAAATAAACCAGAGCTCACACAGAGTTATTTTAAACTTAGAAAGTAGAGGGAGAAAAAAAAGATATATAATATTCATGGAGATCTTACCCTGAGTATATTAACAAAGGCATCAAATGTCTCCTCCAGTGGGGCCCCTTCCATAGGGAGCGGCAATCTGTAATATCTAAATTCATCAAAATTTGTCATTAAACAATACACAGAACTAAAAGAATCTAAAATGTAAGATTAATTTTGATTCATATATGCATGTTTTTGTTCATCTATGGACACTACTTTTCGCCAGGGGTTAATTTACAACAGATTTTGTTTAGATTTTTGTTTTTTGTTTGAAAATTCAGTTTAGCCATCACAGGAATAAACTTTTAAAATATATTAAAATTCAAATTGTAATAATATTTAACAATATTACATTTTATTGTATTTTTTATCAAATAAATGCAACCTTGGTGAGCATAAGAAATTTCTTTCAAAAGCATAAAAAAGCTATGCTTTAAAATAGATTTTATTCTGTCATAAAATATGAGGAATTACCTGTGCAGTGGTTGAATGAAAAGTGGTCTTTTGTAGACCTCCTCAGTGACATGAATGTCCTCCTCTGACAGAATCTGAACCTGCTGAGGTTCATCTTTAAAATGCTCAATGTCATTATAGACATAGAACATATTTTCACTCAGCTTTGCAAAGTCACACAACTGGAGAAAATATCAGAGAATTAAAACCTGACATGGAACAGACACAGTGACCTCTTTCAACATTTCACCATAAAAGGATGGCAAGCGATCAACTTATACAACTAGTTCTGCTCTATAACAGACCTCTTTCCGGATGGAGAGCTCTATTTTCTCTGGGCTGAGCTCTCTGTCTAGGTCATGCAGGTTCTCATGTAGGTTCTCTCTTCCTCTGGGAGTGTACGGAATAAAGTCTCCATCTGAATGGAAGAAGACCACTGGTTCCTCCCTCACACAGATGAAAATCACCTCCTGTTCACATATTTTGTGGGATAAACAGCAATTAACCTGATATCATTATTTGAAGGTCTATCTGCTGAAAATATGGTAGTCAAGGTGGTCAAGACCTCTGAGACGGGACAGATCAAAATCACAATTTTACAGGATAATACAGACATTTGATTGTTTCAAACCAGTTACTTCACATGCTACACTCTTAAAAATAAAGGTTATTTACTGGCATAAATGGTTCTATGAAAAACCTTTAATATTCATGGAATCAATCCATTGCACAAAACTTTCTTTAGATTATAAAAATGTTCTCCACACTTAAAAAAAATGGTTCTTAACTGTTCACTGACAGGTTCTTTGGTGAACCCAAAATGGTTTGTTCTATGGCATTGCTGCAAATGGTTCCTATTTTTAAGAGTGTAGGTTAATTTTATGCTACATAATAACATAATAGCTAACAAATCTAATAGTTCTTAAAGGAAAAAAATGTAATAGGACCCCAAAGTGAACTGTATTCATGGAAAGTGCCTCACTGCCTTTCATCCTACTCGGCAAGGAATAGAAGCACTCACTGACCTCACAGCCGTCAATCTGCAATCTCTGGAGGACCTGTTTGAAACCATTCAGGCTAGGTTGGCCCATTCCAAAAAGGGGGTAGTTTCCCTTGACCTTGCGGAAGTTGGGGGCCCCATGGATGTTTGTAGTATTTAAGACATCAGCTCTATTGTATACATCCTGTACCATAAAAAACTCCCCCTGGACAATATAAAAGCAAGTCATAAAACTTATTTCATCGTAAATGACAAGAAATTTCCATAATTGATCTACATTTCCTGCTCATTACTGCATTTTCCATTACATCTCCAGGCTTTTTCAAGTATTAAGCTCTAAATATTTAGTTTAAATCTCAAAAAGTGAAACATACCAGCACTAGGTAGTGCTCCGGCAACAGGTCAGATATCCTTCCCATTGAGTAGTTGGCAGATTGGATCTTGTCATGAATCTGAAACTCTTCCCTGCAGTTATTTCTGTATAGAGACAAAACTCATAACATCTATCAAAATGTCATACATGAAAAACCCACAACTGATAATACATTGTCTCGTCCCTTAACGGGATGGAAAGGAGATGATAATTCTGTCATAATTTACTCACCCTCCACTTTATAAACCTGTTTGAGGTTCTTTCTTCTGTTGAGAGCAAAAGATATTTTAAAGCAACCAAAAGGTTGAATTCCATAGTATTTTTTTTTCATACTATGGAAGTCAATGGCTACTGTCAACTGTTTGGTTACCAAAATTCTTCAAAATATCTTCTTTTGTGTTGCAGGTTTGGAACAACTTGATGGTGAGTAAACATTTTTGGGTGAACTATCCCTTTAAGTGAAAGTGAGGTTGTTGACGGTATCTACAGTAGTTTTCTCTCAAAGAGTAACACACAGGCGTGACATTTTGTGCATATAAGGGCCCTTATGGCCAGTTTTAAAAAGCATCATGTTGCACTTGTCACTTACGTGATGACAACAGGGGCCACCTTGTTTGTGATGATGGATTTGGCTTTGCTGTTGCGAATGTTCACCGACTGTAGTGAGCGTCTGTGCTCAGCCATGACGTTCCCTTGGTGATCGGCCTGGTGTGTAGGTGCAAACGGAGCAGCCTGGGAAGTTGCACTGGCACTCGTACCCATAATCTGCACAGAGCTGGAATGAGGATTTATACTGTGACTAATATAAAGTAAACAGGCAGACATGTTAGTCATTTTACATGGGGTTATTTCTAACATTTGCACTTTTTAAAGAGCCAGATGCACTTTGTGCTGCAATACCACAGAGATTCAATTTCATGGAACCCCAACACATGTAATGCACAACAAAACCTCCAAATAAAACACATTATTGAAGCTTTGAATGTGTTCTACAGACCTAAAAGTATGTAAGACTATCAAATGTGCATGTGCATAGCATCTCTGTCATATTTGATTGTTAAATGAATGGCTTACGGTCTCACAGCTGTGCCGCGTGTGGTCACATCCTTTGGTTTTTGCATCTTAGTTTCAGCAAGGGTTCAGGTCTCTCTTTAAGTGTAAATCCTGTCAACACGAAATCAGTTTCCTGTTGCTAGCAGAATCTTAACATAAAAAGCCTTTTGTTTTAACCTCAACAACCACTGCTTAAGATTTGCTAATCGCTTTTCTTCTCTTTCTCGCTCAGTGCCTCTCTGGTTCTCTTCTCACAGTGACAGGATAGCCGTTCTAACCCTTCTGGGGGCAACAAAGAAATACAGTACATCTGGCAACCAGACGACAGTGTGGGCGGCTCCAGACATTCACAGGAACAGCCCATGCAAAGGCCATGATACAAAAAGCCAAAAGTGAGAGAAAGTGCAAGATTAAAGATTTCTGATGCCTTTGAATCTACTGAAATCTGAAAGTGTTTGAAGTCAGAATTATGAAGCCAATTGAATCTCCTCCATGCATTGCAGCGATAATGCAGTTAATTAAACAAATCCTGTTTTTTCCCCTCCTCCTTCATAAGATCAAGTTTGTGCCAGAGAGATATCACTGGGAAATATATGATAGCTCTGTGAATGTCATTAGGACATCCCTGCCTTGTTTATATAACTGGCTGGTCTATTGAATGTTTGGGATACTGAGTCACTGGCACCAAGAGCAATGCTTCCCTTTTCCGGGGCTTGATTTAAATTCCAGTTGTGTCTGAGTATCACGGTCACAGAACAAAAAACAACAACAAAAAATCTCTAAATATGGATGGGAAAGGCCCCGGGATGCATTTGTACCACGCTGCACAGATCATTGCACAGATATGCAGTGAGTGGGAGTGACCAGTGATTGGCACATCCTTGTTCAGGCTGAGAAATGAGGAGTTTAAAAACGACCGCAATGTTTTGTTCATGCGTGTTAAGCTTTCAATCAACACATTCAGAATCTGAAAATACTGAAACAACTGAGTTACAATCATAAGTGTCTGTGTAACAATTACATACACTGCAACACAGTTTTTAAAATGCATATGTGAGTCAAACCAGGCCCTAAAAAATAAATAAAAAATAAATAAAAATCAAGATTTTCTCTGAACAACTAATAACTTTTGCTAATAATAATTTAAAAAATATTGTATTATCCTAAGTAAATGTCAAATTATTGTAAATTAGTTAATTCACTAATTTTGCCATGTTTTCAATTCTTCGTGCCACAGCCTGAGATTTTCATTTGTTTATTGATGGCTTTCGTGGCAACTGTATCAGTCAAATGATGTCTTCATTTGGCCATTAATAAAATGAACTATAGAATATTTGCAAATAAAGAATATTTTATATATTATTCAGTGACTATTTCTGCATATTACATTGATACGCCAGGAGGTGGCGAGTGAGAATGCATGGAATCATCCACTCAACCGATTCGTTCAAATTAACAGTATTATGTGGCTTCGTTTGGAACTACTTTCGTTGTTCGTTTCGAAGTAAAAAAAAAAAAAAGCTGACAACATAGTGTCTAAAAAGCAATACTCTAACTTACTTTAACTTGATTAAACTGTTCTATAAAAACAATATCCCATTCTCTATCCATTTTGTTTCACAATGTTCTGAGAGTTCATGTAAATCAGCTCTTGTACACTTAGTAGCCTAAGTACATGCCCACCACCAGCACTTCACAGGATGCTGACTAATAAGAGAATCAAACTTAGCTACGCCAAGCTAAATGTAAGTCAAAAAGACATAATTGTACACTTAATAGAGCAAATATTTCTACCGTGAAGCAAAGACAAGGTAATAGTGAAAGTAAATATCATAAACGTTACCTCACCTGGATACCTGCTCTCTCAGACACCTGTCAGGCCTTGAGAGAGGCAATGAAACGTAGAAGACGACCGAGACCACTTCACACTCATCTTGAGTCCTGTCAATTAATGTCCCTCACTGGTCCAAAGACATGCAGTCAGGTGTCAATCCATAAGAGCGAGTCTCTCAACATAGAGCAGTGCAGATGGATGAGGAGAGGAGGAGAGATGGCCACCTCCCACTTTCAGCTGCCTCTTTCACTGGCAATAAATGTTATGGAAGAGGAGGATGATGGTGGGTGGATTTTCATCTTTTCAGCAGTTAGTAACAGCTCCATCTCCCAGCAACGGTGCGGCTGTCATGCCTGAAATGTTGAAAAGCCTGCGATGTGGGGGTCGGAGTATGAATAAACTGACAGATAAGTTTAAACAGTACGATTTTAATAATATTCTGGATTAGCAAGACTTGATTTTCTTGTAATGGTGATAATAGTTCATCGCAATGTCTCAAACTCAAGTTATTGCATATTGCAGAGGGTAATTTTGCTCACTGGCGGCCAAGTTCTTAATTTTCACCACTGCCACTGGTGTCGAATGTCTTTCATTGCATTGAAAATAGCCTCTGCTTGAACTGCTGGTGTGAAGTGGACACATTGTGTTGCCATTGAGTTTCCAAGCAACTAAACTCTCTTCATGAGGCATTCATGTACTGCAATAAGGGCTTCTAGAACTCCCCCTTTAGTATAACAGTTTAGCATTTACAAAACCGGAGCCGGTGTTCTAACGATTTGTGCTACCCTGTCAGATTTTGCTACCTCCCATTAAAACAGATGGTAGCATAATTCGATAGCGAAAAGTGCTACCTATCAGATTTTGCTTCCAGCATTATATTAATAAGGTGTGAGGCTTTATTAACATGTACACCTACCCTTACAGTAGGATAAATAGTGTTAGTAGCATAATCTGATAGGTAGCGTTATTTGTCAGAACACCGGAACTAATTTACAGAGGACCATAATCTTTATTTTTATTTTGCATTCATAAAACTAAGAGCTGCACACTTTTACCCTACTACTCCATCCAGCGGCAAACCCTAGTATTTCAAACTCAACATATTGTTTACATGACATTCAAGCAAAATGCACAAGCATTTGGCAGAGAAGACAAACAGAGAAGTTGATATCAAGGAACTTTTATTGATCTTGCTGTAACAATGTCCACTGGCATTGGCCAGTAAAAATTCAACTGAACAGGGTCTCAAAGAGGAAAGAAAATACAGTTTCCAATTTATGCCACATTAGATCAAACTTTCATCCTAAATCCCATTGAAGAGCTAAATGCATTTCTGAAAGTTTCTGAGACCTGGGGAAAGTATGAAGAAAAAGTAAGCAGTGATCGTTTAAAAAAAAAACTAAAATAACCAAACGTCCATATTTCAGAGTTGAAACAAGCTGGGATTAGACAAATCTATTACAGAAGGCCAGTATATCAAGTTCCCTTTACTGTACATCATTATTACTTTAATATGACTTTTAGAAAAGTCTATCAATCAAACCGGAAATGAAAATGTGCATCTAATTGCCAAGGATATCACCAGTATTGAATATTTCATAGAAAGTTAACTGCAACCGATCAAAGTCAAACCTAAACCGTGTTTATTTTAACCAATCCATTACCATTACAATATTACACTGCTGTATTGGCAAAACTTCCCATCTCTGTAAGAAAGTAAATAATAACATGTTTCCAAAAATATAATGTTTTCTAGTAAAACATAGCAATATTTGATCTTTTCCTAAACTTGAGAGTTGGAAAGAAATCAAACAGAAAGGAACTGATCCACTATTTAAGGTATGAAAGGGAACAGTATTTGACACAGCTGCTCAGCTTAGTAAAGTAAGGCATGGATACAGAGGCTAAGCACAAGAGATCACTGTGAGAGAAAAAAAAACTGTGCTTCAGAGAATGACTGGAGCACAGAAAGACAATTAAAGTCATGAGAATAAGTCTTATCCTCTTTAAGTCACTTTGTTTGGATAATCTCTTTGCTTAATTCTCTTTCAATATTAATCAAACCTTCTCGTCTTCCACAAGATTTGGCATCCCCCAAAAAAAGAAAAAAACTCAACATTTAAATGATCTGACATGTGAACTAAACTAGACTAAGAAGCAGGACCAAAAGAACATGCATAGAAGAGCATTGGAAAGATTCAATTCAAGTTTTCAAGATGTTTGATCTGAATGAAAATATGAATGTCTGGTCACTACAAAACTATCCATCTTTAAACATTGTGTGGCTGTGAGACAGACAATAGTAAAATGACCAAAACAACACTTCAGTGCTTTCCTACCTTTGATTTGATTATCAAGGTTCATAAGGTTTGTAGTAATCGGAAAGTGACAGTAGATGTCACAGCTGATATTAATGTTAAATATTCACCGTGCCATTTCTCCCATGAAAGGAGCCGTAAGATGTGTACTTATTAGGTACATAATGCAAGTGATTCCTGAGACCAGCTCTCTTTTTGTCATCGTTTTATAAAGTATCTTAAACCCTTGATCAGTTCAACAGTACTTGGTAATGTCTACCTTTAACCAGAGAGTGTGAATTCAGAGCCGATGTTGACGCTTCAAGTGTCTCGCCATGCAAAGGTAGGTACAAATCACACTGTTAACAGGACAAATCTGAACAGAAACATTCTCTCTGACCAAAAGTAAACGTTTGGTCATTCAAAATTGCAATCAGATATCATTACTTAACTTAAATTTAACCTGCTAAAAGGGCTAAAGTAAATTAGAAGGCTATGGACTGAAATGCAAATTTTGGGGTAGTTCTAAATAAAACTAGAAAATTTGTTTGGCATCGTGATCCTATATAAAGTAGTAATTAAGGTCTGTGGTCTGTTTTTGGCCAATTCTATAAAACAATTTTTCTGAGCTGAACAAATACCTGAAAAAAAAAAATCAACTGTTTTAACTGATATAAAAGACTTGGAATGAATATAGAATCCTTTCATTTTTAAAATCAAAACTGTGGTGATAATCCTGCTGTCCCTTTTAAATAAAACTAAATGGATGGAAAAAAAAAACAAAAACTTACATTTGCGAGGACATGTACATACAGATAACTGCATTTCCTGACTTGAGTGCAAATCAGTTTACATGTGAACCAAGTAGACTACATTAAGGGTATCAACTGGAACAGTGTACAGTGAACAATCAGCAGTAAATTTCTGATGGCTGATTTGTTTATGAGTCTATTACAGTAAATTGGTAGCATATCCGGGCACTTGCAATACAGAATTTTTCCCTTGCTCTGTGAGTTAAGCAAGTACAGCTGATGGAAGCCCTGAAACCTAAACGAAAAGAGCTCAACAGGCTC